TTATCAAATTTCTTGCAAGAGGTGTGGAGTGACTCATTCTCGAGTAGGGTTATCGCACTATTCACTGTTTGTTGTGCATTAGTGCCAGCATCTGGTGGTCATGAGCTATAGCACGTAGTGTAAATGTGACAGGGTATCGTCAAGGCGTTTGTTGAAAAGGGATAGGGTGTGTGCATTAATTACATGTTCCGGGAGGGCGTTCCAAGGCTGTGACACTCGAGGGGAGAAATAGTTTCGTCGACATTCCTGCTGGATGTACCGCTTGACTAACTTAAACTGGTGACCTATTTGCGGGGTGGTTTGTCTGAGCATCAGAAGGGAATGGCACGGTTGGTTGAGGTTTCTCAGGATCTGGTACACCATTCTGAGATCGCTCCTTAGACGCCGATAACGTCCACTGTATATTTTGAGGGTCTTCAGCCTGAGTGGGTAGGGGAGGTTGGTCAAAGCTCTGACGCACTTCGTTGCCATACGTTGTGCAGTATCGAGCGCGATGAGATGGTACTTGAGCCAGGGTCGCCAAGCTTAGATAGCGTATTCCGCATGCGGCCTCAAGTACGCACCAAGCATTTTTGGAAAGACGGAAGCGTCAAATTTCCCGAAAGCTCTGCGAAGAAGGCCAAGGTACTGGTTTGCTTTCTTAACTGCCTTTTTAGTCTGCCTCAAACAACCGAGGTCATCTTGAACTATCACGCCGAGATCGCCCTCATGAGAAGCCCGCTGTAGAATTTGTGATCCTAGGTGGTAGTTGTGCATACTCTTGTACCGTATACTGAGAACTTTGCACTTAGTGACGTTGAAATGCCGTATGTTCTCGATGGATCATGTGTACGCTTTGTTCAGGTCCTCCTGTAACACTGTGTGATCCTCCAATGCAGCTATAGTACGCCATACCTTTAGGTCATCGGCAAATAGCAAACAGTTAGAAGGTAACACGCTCGCGAGATCATTTATGAAAACCAGGAACAGGCGGTGTCCAAGTACTGAGCCATGAAGTACGCCGCACTAAACTTCGACGGATTCTGATAGGTTGATTCGAACCCTCGCATTCAGGTGATGTTGAACGAGAAAGTCTCCCATCGAACCCAGAACAGAATCGCCGATTCCATATATCTGGAGTTTGTGGAGGAGAATGCGATGATCTATACGGTCGAATGCGTTTGACTTGGTCCAGAGGAATGAAGGCCCTCACTTCTGAGCTGGCCTTGGTTGGAGCCTCTCGGCTCCCTGGTTGGGGTCCGAAAGACGATGAACACGTTTGGTTGGACACACTTGCTGATATGGCTAGGAGCCGACCTCAGTGGCGTTCGTGCTGTGAGTTTCTTTGTCCCACCTCATCCCTCTTAGCCTCCTCCTCCAACCACGATCTCATTATTTGGCCTTATATAATTTTGCATAGTACTTATTTTTTGGTGCACAGCAGCCGGCTGGTAGCTTATCGGAACGATGCCCATCCGTTACCCATAGCTCAGCTAGCCTGCACCAGTTGCATTTTCATCTCCCTTTTTTCTAAGTATTGCGGCACAGTAGCTGAGGTGTTCCCCACCTCTAGCTAATGTGTATGATGACGATGATGAGGATGCGTTTGAGAAATCCAAGTAGGCCTCGGAGTCCTATTGCCCTAAAATTGATGCCATGCATGAGAAAGTTATGAAAACTAACCAACAATGTTCAATCGGGGGGTGTAATATTATCGCATGATAAAGCACGACTACATAAAGCTTCTATCACCACTAATAAATTAACTTCTCTATACTCTGAAATTTTACCATATTCTCAATATTCATCAAATATTTCACCGGCCGATTATTATCTTTTTCGTAAGTATTAATTGTTTTTTAACATTCAGTAACCCAAACTACTTTATGAAGAACTTTGAATGGTTTAGTAACACTAAAATTGAACTTTTTTCAAAGTCATAAACGATGCTCAATCGTTGGCAGAAAGTCGTAGATGCCAATGGAAGTTATGTCGCTCGAATATAATAAATAATGTGACAAATTGCGTTTTGTTTTTATTTTTATTCAATGCCCGTTTCAGTTTCCAACCTATTACTTACCCTCCCCCGGTAAGATTCCATTTTACCCCCAGGTTGAGAACCACTGATTTAAATCCATATGGGTCATCAGAGATCTGCGCCCACGGAATGACCTAGCACGGTTTGTGTTCAAACTTCCTCATCTGTCCACATATACAATCTTTCATCTACCCGTAAGAACATGTGTCCACTCATCGGACAGGGGGCAATCAGATATTTGCGTGACTGTAAAACCCTCGATTAATTACCACGTCTAAGCACCAGTTCATTAGCACCTAGGACTCTGGCGAAATTGAGGTTTACACACACATTAACTGTCGAAAGTTTACCCAGCTTAATTTGTCGTCTGCCTGAGGGTGAGACCAATTGAAGTTAATTCTTGTAGGTAATTAATGTTCCATAACTGGAATCGTAGAGCTTAGAGTCGTTCCGTGTTTTGAACAATTTACGATCAGTAATTACCAGAAATTCTGCATTGTGGCCGAAAGAAAACACCTTAGAGAGATGACTTTGAAGGAAAAGACTAGTCTGCTATGTTTCGTGGAAAGCAGTAGCCAAAGAAAGACAACAGTATATTGTGATGTCAGCAAAACAACAGTTAGCAAAATCCAAAGTAATAAAACGGGTACTTGGAAAGATAAGCTAATGGAAGATGAGACCTACAACGGAAGAGATAGAAAACTTCACAGGATGAAGTCAATGGGGCTTAGCTGCGCGGGTTCAAGCAAATAGAGCACCTACCGCTAGAATTTCTTTGCCAGTGATTTAAGAAATTGATAAAGTGTTCTCATAAGAAATTAGGGATGCAACTTTCCAGGCGTCCAAGGATTGGTTAGAGAAATTTAACCTCCGGCATGAAATCCCCCAAATAGCTTTGTTTGGCGAACCCAGTGAAGTGCCTGAAAAGTTAAATAAACAAATAAATAAATAAAGCTGTCATTTTCGACAACGCGTGACACGACTTTACAGGCTAAATCATTTTGACATAAAATACTTATCAAGAATGTGCAAAACTCCGATATGTTCGCCATAACAGGGTATGTTTGTGTAGGAGCGCATGCAAGTACGTAATTGTGCGTAATTGTGTGTGTATGTAGCTCCCATCCGCATGCCTCTCGGTCTTATTCCTTCGGGTTTACACTGGATATGGGGTGTGTGGACGGAGCTATGTGTGGTGCAGCGCAAGCCACCCATGGTCTCTCTGTAGAAGCAGGCGTCCTGTGGCTGGCCAAAATGACACGCAAATATGAAACCGGATTCCGCCAACCATGTAGCTGTGTAATTTGTGCTTATAATTGTGATGCTCCATTCTTGAATGTTTGTTATATTCAGCAATGTGCGAGTAGATGATTGGTGTCCATGGGTTGGAAAGATTATGCGGATATCCAGGGGGCAGTGAGTTTATTTTGTGGCGAGTCACTACCGCCACGTCACAGTGTTGTTAAGCAAATATTTGTGACTTTTTATAAGGAGAATGTTTGCCAGGCGAAAATCCACCACGTCTTGGAACACTGCCGCCGGACTATTTACTGGAACGGCTTAAACCCAAACCCCCAGCTAGTAGCACGGGGAGGTTGTTCCGCTAGTCACCCGGCCAGTGCGTTTAGGGCTCTATAGGAAAATTTCTTAAATTTGCTCAGGGCTTTAACAATGACGACAATTTTAACCCTGATGAGTGTGGTCTGTTTCCTAAGGCAATGCCTAAAAGATGGCCAGTAAGAGAGGGGGCCAAAGGTAAGAGCGGGAACCATTCTGAAGAATGTATCACCGTTCTATTGTGCGTTAGCTCAAGTGGGGAAGGACTAAAGTCCCTGGTGATTAGTAAATCAGCTAGCCTACGTGCGTTCGTAAACCTAAATCCTGAAAACCTTCCAGTCATCTAGCGAATAAAATGGTCTGCGCGGATGGTTGCTTCCATATTTGAGGGGTAGATCAAATGTATCGACAAAGAAAGGATTAAGAAGAAACGGTTCATTATCCTAACAGTGGACAACGATCCTAGTCACACTCATATAAAAGATCTCACATTTAGTACACTTAATTTTCTGCCTCCAAACATGACCTCACATATTCAACCTCTGGACCAAGGGCTCATCAAAATATTCAAATGCATTACCGAGCCCAGTTATTGCAATGAGAAATGGAAAACTTGCATACTAAAAGTTTTCGTGCGGAAAGAACATCATCGACTGTTGCAGTTAAAGCTTTGTATGTTGTGCCTTTGTGTAAGCTCAGTATGGTTCGAAGTTCAACCAGAAATAATATAGAAGTGTTTAAGAAAGGTTGAATTAGTTCTACCTATCCTGCGGAATGCCGTCGCCTTGTTAGATATTCCAGCTCCATTGGCTGAATTCGACGGAATAGATATTAAATAGCTTGTTGAAATGGATGATGACTTGCTAAGTTGCACCGAACCAGACCCAGAAGCTATTTTCCAAATGATACTGATTGCGGTACTCATCTACGGAAACAAAGAACAAACCCCTAATGAAGCAGACGAAGAAGGACTGAGTAATGATGATTTGAAAATCACAGAAACTTCAAACAACGTGAAGGCAGACATACTTTCATTAAACTGAAATCATTTGCTGTAGAAAAAGGTCAAAATATGCTGAGTGATGTGGTTTGTGTTGAGAGCGCTTTCATAAGTTACTTTTCTGGTAAGAGAAAGAAACGAGTAAAGATTGACTTTCACTTAAGGAATGTATTAACACCAAATGCACACTGCGTTTTAATTTAACAGTGTATGGTTGAACTGCGTTTGTTGTTACGTGAAAATTAGTCCAATATTTTCGAAAAGTGTAAACGTGAATATCCATTTCATACTATACTACTCACAATGGGAAAGTAGATTGCACTAGATTTACGCACAGAAAGTCCGTATGGAGACAAGCACTCCATATTGACCAATTTGGTCCATTCCCGTAAGTAGTCAACTTACTCTTTTACTGTAATGTTTTCTTCAAAAATTTATTGCAATTTCGAACCAGGATGCAACGCATTGTATGCACGGTGTGCTGACAGCACAGTGTGTTAGACAGCACCCCCCCCCCCCCCCCCCCCCCCCCCCCGCCCCCCCCCCCCCCCCCCCCCCCCCCCCCCCCCCCCCCCCCCCCCCCCCCCCCCCCCCCCCCCCCCCCCCGCCCCCCCCCCCCCCCCCCCCCCCCCCCCCCGCCCCCCCCCCCTCCCCCCCCCCCACCCCCCCCCCCCCCCCCCCCCCCCCCCCCCCCCCACCCCCCCCCCCCTCCCCCCCCCCCCCCCCCCCCCCCACCCCCCCCCCCCACCGCCCCCCCACCCCCCCCCCCCCCCCCCCCCCCCCCCCCCGCCCCCCCCCCCCCCCCCCCCCCCCCCCCCCCCCCCCCACCCCCCCCCCCCCCCCCCCCCCCCGCCCCCCCCCCCCCCCCCCCCCCCCCCCCACCCCCCCCCCCCCCCCCCCCCCCCCCCCCCCCCCGCCCCCCCCCCCCCCCCCCCCCCCCCCCCCCCCCCCCCCCCCCCCCCCCCCCCCCCCCCCCCCCCCCCCCACCCCCCCCCCCCCCCCCCCCCCCCCCCCCCCGCCCCCCCCCCCCGCCCCCCCCCCCCCCCCCGCCCCCCCCCCCCCCCCCCCCCCCCCCCCCCCCCGCCCCCCCCCCCCCCCCCCCCTCCCCCCCCCCCCCCCCCCCCCCCCCCCCCCCCCCCGCCCCCCCCCCCCCCCCCCCCCCCCCCCCCCCGCCTCCCCCCCCCCCCCCCCCCCCCCCCCCCCCCCCCCCCCCGCCCCCCCCCCCCCCCCCCCCCCCCGCCCCCCCCCCCCCCCCCCCCCCCCCCCCCCCCCCCCCCCCGCCCCCCCCCCCCCCCCCCCCCCCCCCGCCCCCCCCCCCCCCCCCCCCCCCCCCCCCCCCCCCCCCCCCCCCCCGCCCCCCCCCCCCCCCCCCCCCCCCCCCCCCGCCCCCCCCCCCCCCCCCCCCCCCCCCCCCCCGCCCCCCCCCCCCCCCCCCCCACCCCCCCCTCCCCCCCCCCCCCCCCCCCCCCCCCCCCCCCCCCCCCCCCACCCCCCCCCCCCCCCCCCCCCCCCCCCCCCCCCCCCCCCGCCCCCCCCCCCCCCCCCGCCCCCCCCCCCCCCCCCCCCCCCCCCCCCCCCCCCCCCCCCCACCCCCCCCCCCCCCCCCCCCCCCTCCCCCCCCCCCCCCCCCCCCCCCCCCCCCCCCGCCCCCCCCCCCCCCCCCCCCCCCCCCCCCCCCCCCCCCCCCCCCCCCCCCCCGCCCCCCCCCCCCCCCCCCCCCCCCCCCCCCCCCCCCCCCCCCCCCCCCCCACCCCCCCCCGCCCCCCCCCCCCCCCCCCCCCCCCCCCCCCCCCCCCCCCCCCCCCCCCCCCCCCCGCCCCCCCCCCCCCCCCCCCCCCCCCCCCCCCCCGCCCCCCCCCCCCCCCGCCCCCCCCCCGCCCCCCCCCCCCCGCCCCCCCCCCCCCCCCCCCCCCCCCCCCCCCCCCCCCCCGCCCCCCCCCCCCCCCCCCGCCCCCCCCCCCCCCCCCCCCCCCCCCCCCCCCCGCCCCCCCCCCCCCCCCCCCCCCCCCCCCCCCCGCCCCCCCCCCCCCCCCCCCCCCACCCCCCCCGCCCCCCCCCCCCCCCCCCCCCCCCCCCCCCCCCCCCCCCCCCCCCCCGCCCCCCCCCCCCCCCCCCCCCCCCCCCCCCCCCCCCCCCCCCCCCCCCCCACCCCCCCCCGCCCCCCCCCCCCCCCCCCCCCCCCCCCCCCCCCCCCCCCCCCCCCCCCCCCCCCCCCCCCCGCCCCCCCCCCCCCCCCCCCCCCCCCCCCCCCCCCCCCCCCCCCCCCCCCCCCCCCCCCCGCCCCCCCCCCCCCCCCCCCCCCCCCCCCCCCCCCCTCCCCCCCCCCCCCCCCCCCCCCCCCCCCCCCCCCCCCCCCCCCCCCCCCCCCCCCCCCCCCCGCCCCCCCCCCCCCCCCCCCCCCCCCCCCCCCCCCCCCCCCCGCCCCCCCCCCCCCCCCGCCCCCCCCCCCCCCCCCCCCCCCCCCCCCCCCCCCCCCCCCCCCCCCCCCCCCCCCCCCCCCCCCCCCCCCCCCGCCCCCCCCCCCCCCCCCCCCCCCCCCCCCCCCCCCCCCCCCCCCTCCCCCCCCCCCCCCCCCCCCCCCCCCCCCCCCCCCCCCCCCCCCCCCCCCCCCCCCCCCTCCCCCCCCCCCCCCCCCCCCCCTCCCCCCCCCCCCCCCCCCCCCCCCCCCCCCCCCCCCCCCCCCCCCCCCCCCCCCCCCCCCCCCCCCCCCCCCCCCCCCCCCCCCCCCCCCCCCCCGCCCCCCCCCCCCCCCCCCCCCCCGCCCCCCCCCCCCCCCCCCCCCCCCCCCCCCCCCCCCCCCCCCCCCCCCCCGCCCCCCCCCCCCCCCCCCCCCCCCCCCCCCCCCCCCCCCCCCCCCCCCCCTCCCCCCCCCCCCCCCCCCCCCCCCCCCCCCCCCGCCCCCCCCCCCCCCCCCCCCCCCCCCCCC